CAGCAGGGAATGGGGTCAATGATTTTGAATAAAGGAGAAGTCAAGAATTATATGACAAAGTTCATGACAAATTTTAAAAAATATATATAATATAATCAGGCAAAATGTCCTTTTCTCAACACCTAAAATGATCACACACACACAGAGGCATATATATATATATATATATATATATATATATATATATATATATATATATATATATATATATATGTGTGTGTGTCATTCATAGATAGTACTATTTCACTGTGTAGAGCTATCAATGCAACTAACATCCAAAAGCCTCAAGTCATATATATAAATCCCAACTGATTTGGTGTATATATATGTTTCTATATATAAGACCATATATATATATATAGAATAAATATGCTAATTCTAGCGTATTTTTTTTTATATATATATAAAATAATGTCACACAATCAAAGTGCTTGTATTATATTTATGAATATATATAGTGTATATATATATATTTATATATATTATATGTCTCATATATATATATATATATATATATATATATAAGCAAATATATGGATATAAATCCGACAGTATGAAAAAAAAATACAGAAAAAAAACAAAATTCTGAATATGCATTATTAATGTTAAAATAAAGTCGACGTCGGACGTTTCGGTCTATTTAAGACCATCTTCATGGACATTTTCATTTAAACATAATTAACATTATAACTTATAACAATTTAACACAAAAGACGATGGACATAAGAGCCCAACTAATTCAAACAGATAACTGAAATTTTATACAGATCAGCGTTCTGTTTAAATATGATCACGTAGTCGTCACGTGGGCGATGTTGTTAAACGTATTCGAAGATGATTTCCAAAAATTAAAATATCAAAAAGTCGATTGAAAAATTTTTTATAAAAGTTTAAAGAAATCTCTTCCGTTGATGTTGGAAATACGTAGTGAATCAATTGGTTCTTATATCTTCAACAAGCTTTTTTTGGATTTGCATTGTAAAAGGAAAACTTTCAACAGTTTTCAGTTATCTGTTTGAATTAGTTCTAGGCTCTTATGTCCATTAAAATCTTTTAATGTTAAATTGTTATAAGTTATAATGTTAATTATGTTTAAATGAAAATGTATATGAAGATTTAAATAATGAAAAAATTATATAGACTTTATTTAAAATACTTAATTGCATATTCAAAATTTTTTTTTTTTATATATTTTATCATATATATATATATATTTACACACACACACATATGTATATATATATATATATATATATATATATATATATATATATATTTGGTTGAATAATCTAACATATTATGTCTCTTCATTTAGATATGAAAATCCTCTCAAATGTGCATTTACAAAAAATTCACAACTATCAAATCATTAATATTTTTGTCTTAGCAAAATATATATGAAAATGATCTTGGATGAGATTGAAAATACTTTGATTGGGAAAAAAAGGACCAAGGATTCTCATCTTTCTTAATCAGTTTAATAACAATGTACTGAAATTGATCCTTGAATTTGAATTGAAAAAAAATAAAACTAAATAGATATGCCTAATTATTATAAAAACATGCTTGAATGAAGATATCTACCTAAATATACGCACACACAGAGTGATTGAAAACTAACTCCCTATTTTATGTATGAGTGGGCAGTCAACAGCCCTGTGATTTCTTTTCTTTGGGGTTCTTTAAAGAACCAAGACTTTGGAAGAACTTGAAAGGCAAATGCAAGAAGTTATGTCTTCCATGCCACAAGAGTTCCTGGTGAAATCAGTTGACATGATTCCTGGGCAGCTCAAAATTAAAAAAAACAAACCTCATGCTAAACAATTTTCTCTCATATCCATTTCTTGTCAAAATTATGGTTAATAAATAAATTATAAGTATTTTTAAAATGAGGATTTACTTTTCAGTCACCCTCTCTGTGTGTGAATATATGTATGTAGATATATATTTTTAAAGAATTAATGAATCTACTTTTAACTCTACATTTGTATGGCTTCAAACATTTCATTTTTTAGTGGATACCAGTGATTGAAATAGACTCCGCATTATTTATTTTTAAACAGTGTGTCTTATGTTTGAAAAGTAAGAAAATTTGCACTCTGGATGGGTTCAAACCTAAAATCCTTCCCACCCCATCTGGCCCTTTAAAGAAAAACCACTCTTTGATTTGATATGGCATGCTTTAGTGCACTAAGCTACAGAGATCATCACAAAAAATGATGTTTAATTTAATATATGGTGTGTGTTGTATACATTATATATATATATATATATATATATATATATATATATATATATATTATATTTGATAAAATCAAAACAATTCATTTTTCGTTTGGAATTTATGTTTAACGTTCTTTTTATAGATACAAGTATTTTTAAAATGCTCTGTTTAATAATTCTTTTTTTTTCTAGGACATTCAGTGCCAGTAAATATTATTTAATGTAAATGTTTATCTATAAACAGAGCAACATTTTAAATTGTATTGTATATATTTATATATTTAAAATAAAATTTTAAATAAATGTATTTATATATATATGATTATTTATTTTACTTTATTATAAAAATCATTATATAACATCACTGCAAAAATAACCATTTTGTTTTAATACCTCTGGTATCTTATCAAGTGATGGTATTGAATATATATATATATATATATATATATATATATATATATAGGGGCAAAAGAGAAAATCATTTCAGTTTAATCAGCTTACCAAAATTCATATCCTGATGTTTGTTTTTTTTTAACTTTCAGCCTCCTTTTGTATACTGTGCACACACACATATATATAGAGAAAATGTAGGTATATTTATGTATGTATGAATATATATAGGTGCATGTATATGTGTGTGTGTGTGTATATATATATGTGTGTGTGTGTGTGTGTGTTTTGGGCAACAATCCCTCTTTTATACAAGTTTCATTAAAGACAACTGACAAGATATTGTGATTAAGCTTTTTATTTAATTTCTTTTGTGTTTAAACAGGTGTTTTCTTTTCTGGACACAAAGTGTGGAAAAACTGTCCAAAAATTCTGCATATCCAAGCTTTTTCAGCTACTCATTTAGCCATTATCAAGTACCTGGATTTTTGTCTTTCTTTTTTTTTTATGTATGTGTCTAATCCATTACAGGGATGTTTTATTTTTCCAAAACAAGATCAGCGCATTTTGTGGCCATGTTCATAATTAATGTTATTAGTGTTGGCTTTTCTTTTTTTATTATTTGGGCTTCCATTTTTTTTATTTTTTTTACATGTAGATGAGGTTATTATGTTTGTATTTTCTACAAGTATGTTCGTGGATGGATTTTTTTTTAGCACTCTTTGTATCAAGATCAAAACACTTGATTTGAACATTTAAAAATTAAATGATTGAATTCTTTTTATAGGAAACACCTTTTCACATTTTATTTCAAACCTCAAATCTCTTAAATCTCTCTGTGTATATATATATATATATAAATATATATATATATATATAAAAGGAATATATATATATAAAATATGTTGTGTGTTTGTGTACCATAGATCCATATTTATATCCATGTATTATATATATATTATTTGTTTGTGTATATATTATATATATTATATTTATATATTTATATGTGTGTTTTTTACTATATCCTTTATAGTATGGGTATATTATATATATATATTAATTTATATATACCCTAAAATATAATATATATATATATATGCTTTTTCATATATGCCCACATATATGTGTTTCTTTCGATATATAAAAATGATCGTTTCATATATATATATATGAATAAATTATGTAATGATAAATGTTTATAATGATAGTTATATTGTTGAATGTGTGTATATAGAATTCATGTAAATATATGGATGTGTGTGTGTGTGGATAATCAACAACCTTAAAATTTTTTTATATCAAATATTTGTGTGTGTATGTATTTGTCCTATATGATGGGTATATATTTATAATAACGAATAATTTTATACGCATTCTTGAAATGTATATATATACTATATATATTCAATATTTTGAAGGTGTTCAAATATATATTACACCTTTATATATGTAGATATTGTGTGTGTAAATTTTGTTGTGAAAAATATAAGTTATCTTTGTATATGTTTATATTTTTCCCCATATTGTTTTAAAGATAATATATATATTTCTATATGTGTGTGTATTAAATTAAAATATTTATGAACGCCAAAGATAATAGGTTTGTATTAAATATATTTGAATAAAATATTATATATTATATAAACAAATATATGTGTGTGAATTATGAATCTGTGAATATATACTTGTTGTGTTTGTGTGATTATAAAAACTTTATATATTTATATATTCAATTAATTATATTGTTGTGTGTGTGTTTTGTGTATATGTATATATATTTATATAAATGTGTGTTTTATGTGTAATTATGTGTAATTGTATGTATACATAATATATATATATATATATTAATCATTCCAGGAATATCTTTGTGTTTGTGTTTCCATGTATATATAAGATCTGAATATATATATGGATGTGTGTGTTGTTGTATTGAACATATTTATATATATATATATATTTATATATTATATATATATTTATAAAATTCCATGAAAATTTTTGCCCCATATATACATTCATAAATACTTATGAAATATATCAAATATCTATGTTTCTACATGTATGTCAAAATTTTTTTTAATATTTAAAGAAATAAGGATTCAGAATTTTAAAAAAAATTTTTATTTACAATTGTATCAAAACCAAATATTCCCTCTTTTAAAAAATTTTTTTCTTTTGCAAATTTCCTTTTCTTAAATTGTTGAAATATTTTCATTTTTCAAAATCATGTCTTTATATTAGAAATCAGTTTAAGGGGAAAACAAATATTTTTTTTTGAAAATTTTTCTTTTGAACTCATTTTTTTTGATGAACAGATTGGAAAATTTATTGACGACTTTCTATTGTTTCTTTTTCATGTTTTTTCCCCATTAAATTACCAATTAATGATTCATGTAATCAGAAACTTTCTACTTCTTTTCTTTCTTTTCTTTTCTTTTTTCTTTTTTAATTTTCTTTCATTCATCTTTTTTCTTTTTTTCTTTTCCTATTCTTTCTTTGTTTTTTTCGTTTTTTTCTTTCTTTTCTTTCACCATTCTTTTATATTTGCCTTCCCCCATATTTTTCTTTATCAAAAAATCCATTCTTTTATTTTTCTTTCCTTCCCCATTCTTTTCTTTCTTTGTCAATTCTTCTCAATTCTTTTCTTTCTTTGCCTTCCCTTTTTTTCTTTTTCTTTTTCCATTCTTTTCTTTCTTTTTTTTGTTTCTTTCTTTTTCCCCATTCTTTTTTTTTTTTCTTTCTTTCCCCATTTTTCTTTCTTTTTTTCTCCATTCTTTTCTTTTTTTTTTTTGAAATTTTTTGAAAAATTTCTTTCTCATTTCTCCATTCTTTTCTTTCTTTATAAACCCAATAGATTTTTTTTTTCTTTTCTTCTTTCTCCAATTTTTTTTTCTTGCAATTTTGTCCTTCCCCATTCTTTTATTTCTTTAGGACTAACGTTAATTCTTTTTTTTCTTTGCCTTCCCCCATTCTTTTCTTTCTTTCCCTTTTATTTTTTTTCTTTTCTTTCCCTTTTCTTTCTTTCCATCTAATAATTTTCTTTTCTTTGGATTCTTTTCTTTTTCTTTCTTATTCTTCCCCCATTCTTTTCTTTCTTTTCCTTCCCCATTCTTTTCTTTCTTTGAAACATTCCATTCTTTTTTTTCTTTTAATCCCCATTCTTTTAATTTTTGCTTTCCCCCATTCTTTTCTTTCTTTTGTCTTCCCCATTCTTTTCTTTAAATTCTTCCCCCATTCTTTTCTTTCTTTTCTTTTCCCCCATTCTTTTTTTTCTTCCCCATTCTTTACTTTGCTTTCTTTATTTTTTTCAAAATCTTTTTTTCCTTTGGTTTTTTTTTTTTTTTTTTTCAAAATAAGTGAATTCTTGTTTTCTTTCTTTTGCTTTCTCCATTCTTTTTTTTTTTTTTCCTTCCATTTTTTTTTTCTTTCTTTTGTTCATTCTACTTCTTTTTTTCATTTCGTGATTCTTTTCTTTTTTTTTTCCCCATTGGGAACTTTTTATCTGGTGAATTCATTCTTTTCTTTGTTTGTTTTTTTTCTTTTTTTTTCCTTTTTATATCTCTGATTTTTCTTCTTTTGCCTGGTGGTATTCTTCCTTTGTTTGGGATGGATTTTTTTCTTTCTTCTTCCCCATTCTTTTCTTTCTTTTTTGCAATTTTCTTTCTTTCTTTCCTTCCCCATTCTTTTCTTTCTTCCTTCCGTTCATTCTTTTCTTTCTTTTCTTTCTCCAGTCCTTTTCTTTCAAAATTCAAACCATTCTTTTATGCAGAAAGAATTTGTCTTTTCTTCCCATTTTTTCTTTCTTTGCACATAGTGAGCAACAAAAATTGTCTTTGAATTTCTTTTCTTTTTTGCCTTGGACTTCTTTTCTTTCTTTGATCCATCTCTTTTTCTTTCTGGGGGAGCTTTCCCCATTCTTTTCTTTCTTTTCTTTCCCCATTCTTTTTTTCTTTCTTTCTTTCTTCCATTCTTTCTTTTGACACGGGCTTTTTCTTTCTTTGAACTTCCTCCATTCTTTTTTTCTTTGATTTAACTAATTCTTTTCTTTCTTTTGTCTTCCCCCATTCTTAATTTTCTTTGCTCTTTTCCATTCTTTTTCTTTCAAACTTCCCCATTCTTTTTTTCTTTCAGCCTCCATTCTTTTCGCAAAAACATTCTTTTTACTTTCTTTGTCTTCCTTTTTCTTTTCTTTTTTCTTCCTCCATTCTTTTCTTTCTTTGACTTCCCCCATTCTTTTACGCATTTTTTCTTCCCCATTCTTTTCTTTCTTTGTCTTCCCCATTCATTTCTTTCTTTGCCTTCCCCATTCTTTTCTTTCTTTGTCTTCCCCAAATTTTCTTTCTTTGCCTTCCCCATTCTTTTCTTTCTTTGTCTTCCATTCTTTATTTTCTTTTGCCTTTATTGTTTTCTTTCTTTGTCTTATTCATTTTAAGACTCTTTGCCTTCCCCATTATTTTTTTTCTTTGCCTTAAAATTCTTTTCTTTCTTTGTCTTTATCCATTCTTTTCTTTCTTTTTTCACATCCTTTCTTTTAAATACAGGAAATTCCTTTCTTTTCTTTCTTTGTCCTTGTTCATCTTTCTTTCTTTGTCTTTCAAATGCCTTTTCTTAAGCAGAATTTTCTATTCTTTCTATCTTCTATCTCCATTCTTTTCTTTCTTTCCTTCTATATATATATATATATATATATATATATATATATTATATATATATATTTATTAATTTAAACAATATTTAGTGGATAGCATATTTGAATAGATGTCTGCGTTCATTTTAAAACCCTATTTTTTTTTTTTGTCTTCAGCCTGAATATTCGAAACGAAAATATATAATTATACTGTTTAAAAAATAAACAGATCGTCTATTCAAAATTTATTTATCCAC